TTCATTCCCAACCGCAGGCATGCTAGAGCTAATCAGAAATGTGTGCCATTTTTCTCAAAGATACTAGTTGTAAATTAATTTTAGGCTAATACCTTGTCTTTCTTCTTCTTAAACCTACAGAAAGTGTGCTTGGTAGTTCTTAGGGTTTTTAAAAGAATAAAATCTCAGCAAAGATTAGAATGTGACAAATTTCCTTATTGGTTTGCTGGCAGGACTACTGAGAACCTTCCTTGTATAATAATGTTTTCCATGGGACTTGCAAAGTCAGCTTTTAGCAAAAATTAGAGTACCAAAGCAAAGAGATGAAGGAAACTTTTAGTTTACATCTCAGAGTCAGAATCTAGTTGCTTTGGAGCAAGTCTGAAGTTGCTCAAACAATGAGGTAGGAAGGAACCAAACAAAATGTGTGTGCAGTGGGAAGAGCTACCCTGGGGAATACAAGCCACCTGCTTTCAGGTCAACAAAAACTTGGAAAGAGGCTATATATATTATGAGTCTTCTCTACAAAGATACTCTCACCTATGACTTCTGAAGTAGGAATAATGTTTAAAACCAGGGCTCTCCTTTTAAGAGGGGGGACTATGTGCAGTAATACCATGAACTGAAATAATATACAAAATCATTCAGAAAATCCTACTGTTGTAAATGTTACATATGAGTGCATAACCTTCAGGAACAGATAAACAACAGTTTCTGGCCAGGCAAATATATAAATATGGCTCTGGTGTTAGGATCCATCTTTCTTGCTATAGCACGGAACTGCAAATCTCAATATTATTGTGGTTATATAATATTGTGTTGCTTGTTTTCTGTTTCATCTTGGTGTACAAAGAGTGTCAGGATATTTACATGCATTATGATTAATTGGGTACCAATGAATTCTACAGATATCTTTTTTATTTAATTCCTGCCTTGAATGCAATAGAAACACCCCACCTCCCAATAGTCAAATTTTTAATGCAGAATTCTTACTTCCCTCCTAAAGAAAGGTTTACATTATTAACTAAATGGCTAGGAGCATGATTCAGTGCTCTGATTTTTTTAAAGTTCAAACCAGATTTCAAAGTGAATATTTAAATAGTTTCATGGAAACTATCATACTACACAGATGATAGTTTAACCATTTTTCTTTTTGAAGAAAAAGAACCACTATGTAACTTTTGACTTTAAAAAGTAATTCCGTGCAGCAAGATATATACTGTGGTTAAGCTGCCTGAATCTAAATTATTACTGTCATTGTGTTCTCCTCTTTTTTAAAAACAAACTAGGGAAAAGCCTTTTTAATCAAATGTTTTGTGGAAAATGTATTTGTCACAACTCTTCAATGTGGCTACAGTCCTAATCCTAACCTTCATTTCTTGGTATCCTATTGAATTCAGTGTTACTTAATTTCAAATAAGCTTATTTGGAATGGTGTGTAAGTACATACACAACGTCATTAACACCAGAGCAATTTCTTTTACATTTACAGTGGTCAGAAGAAACATTCTGGGAATTGTAGCCTTGGGTGTAGTTGTGTCCCAGTGCTAACACGAATGATGTTGCACTAGTGTGAATGGATGCTTGTGCAACTTAACTATTGCTTACTAGGGAAGTTCACTGGAAAATCACTTTCTCCCATTGATGGCAAACAGTATTAACATTAGCTCTGGAGACCAGTTGCGTATTACCCTTTCCTTCTGAATTAAAAATTTCACAGTAGTTACTGCATAGATTAGCCACTGCAGCTGCTAGACCATTTTTGGCAGCTGATTGCTGCATCTCAGATACACAGGGTTTTCATAGCTGTAATACAGATAATACAATAATTCTGTTACTCTCTCCACCTCAGACTTACCTTTCTGTATTTTATTAGATTATGGTTTTGTACATTGGAGCAAATACATATCTATTATCACATGATCTCCCCTGCTGTGCCAGGACCATATCCCAGCTTGTTGTGTAATGTCACAATACAATGGAACATCTTTATGGTGGTCAGTGAGCCTCTTTCTGAATAGCCCTGGCACAATGGCTTTCAGAATAGTCTCAACTTATGTAGACAATTGAGCTTTCTGGGCACACAAAACAAAGCAAAACACCCTGGAATAAAACCTTTTCATCTATTATAATCACGAAGGAATTCATAGGATTTTCTTAAAGGGAGCCAGTGGCCCTTTCTTTGGCCAGTTTCATCTTCAACAGGGTCTTTACCATGGTAATCTTCATCAGGCTTCAAGTCTCTGATAGAAAATACATAAACAATTGCTGTTTAGAATCAAAGAACATGAAGGAATTCCAGGGGTTGTCTAGGCAACCACCAGTTCTAAAATAGCATGCACTGTAACTAAACCAGCTAAAGCATCCCTGAGACAACACACCCAAGCCTGCCTTTTATATATTATTTATATTCAAGATTATATGTGGGCCACAAAATTATATACATGCTATTCCCAAAAGAAAATATGGGTGAACCGCATAAATTATAAATGCTATGTTGGTGTGTTGTAAAGCCAGTGTGGCATAATAATGTTGGACTGAAACTTGGGAGATTTTCGTTCTAGCCTCCACTCAGCCATGAAGCTCACTGGGTGACCTTAGGCCAATCACAGACTTTCAGCCTAATCTACTTCACCCGATTGCTTTTGTAAAGATAAAATAGAGAGGAGGAAAACTCTATAAGCCTTCTTGGTTCCATAGCAGAGGAAGAAAGATGGGCTAGAAATGTAATGCAATGCAATAATGCAAAGATATCATTTTGAGCTTTAGCATTCCTGACACCATTTCTGGAATTCCAGTCTATCTCCCTCCATATTTCCTTAGTGACCCGTGCCTCCTTCCACTTATTTGCCCTTTTTGTGCAGCTACATTGGTTGCTTTAGTGGCCGTCCCTCCCCCTCCCCCATTAATATTGTTTCTGATTTCATCTTTTGTATCTCCTTTTTTAGTAACTCCTATCTGCCTTAAGCTCCTTTTCCAGTTAGGTTTCCCTGCCATGGAATTCTACTTATCATTGTTCTGAGTTTATTAAAATCATCTTTCCCAAAGTCCAAGGTACACATTTGACTACTCTCAACTTCAGTTTTCCTTAAAATCAAGAACTCAACCATTACATGGTCACATTATCAAAAGTTCTCACTGTTTCCACCTCGCTAAGGACTCCTCTTCCTTATGGGTCTGAATTACGCATGATTGATTCCATCATTCCTTCCTTTGCCCTCTGAAGGAGAAAACTGTCAGCAAAACAAGTCAGGAAATAGCCAGATTAATCTCCAAAGATGAAGTATAAGAGTCAAAATCTTTAGAATTCATAAACTACATATTTTCTGAACCTACTCACACTGTTTGTAAACCAAATAATGTATTTTGGTGGCTAATATTGGGCAGGGTTATTATAAGACTTTCACTTGGCTTTTGCAAAATAGATAAGAAATACAAATAAATAGCTGCATTTTTAATTAATGTAAACCCCTACTTGCAAAAAGTACAGATTGAATATGACTTGGATAAATTTGAAGTGTATTAACATACAATTTAAAGAGACATGAATTCTGAGTATGTTGAGCAAGGGGGAAAGTTGCATGAACCCTCTATACCAGCTACTATAAAGGTTTTATTCTGATGTCTATAGAGCAGGGGGTCTCAAACTCAACTTACCTGGGGGCCACTGGAAGTAGAGTCTGGGTGAGGCTGGGCCGCATCAAGTGGTGGTGGTGGTGGAGTGCTCATCCCGCGTCGCTCCCGGAGGCCGGCCCGGGCGCCGCCAGCACTTTGAAGGCCGCAGAGCCCCTCCCCCGTGCCCCGCCCGTCCCGGCAATTGGCCTGCAGGCCGCAAGTTTGAGACCCCTGCTGTAGAGTATGAAGGCAAGCAACTGTATTCCACTTTCCTCAGACTCGTTCCATGGCAAATATGAAAAGCTGTAAAAGCTAATAAAATGTGGAGTTTTATAAATAGTTGTATAAAGAGAAGATGTTTTATAGTTTAAGTGGTATTTATGAACAGATGTTCAGCTTTGTGGTATAATAATCAATGTACAGGCAGAATGCCACACAAGCATTGCTTCTCTCAAAGGCTGCATAAAAGCCTAATTCACAAATCACATGTATAGTGTTAGAGGGATTTTTCCCCCAGGAGTACATTTGGAGACTTTGTTTTCATACAAGTGGTTAGAGTAAATGTGTTCCAGTTTAATGCATCTGCTCCCATTATTAGTGAATATGAACATAATAAGTTGTACCCATTCCCACATAGGGTTTCATGTTTGCTTGCAGCTGTTAAGCAGGAAGAACTAGCAAGAGGTGGGTTTCAAATTAATGGACCTTCTCAAGGTCAAGGACTAAGGGGATGGTCCTGTGTCCTCTGAAATGTAAGTATTTCAGCTTCATAGCTTCAAAACAATTTGCAAAACTCATGGCAGTCATTAGCCATTCATTTAGTTGTCAGACCAACTAAACTGGAACCTTTTTGCCTAAATGGGTTCTATCATGGTTTGGAAGTTCTACCACATCCATTTCACATGAAAATGCACTTGTTCAAATTGCTTTAATATGAAAAGCATAACAGAGAGAAACTATGAAAGTTAGTAATCTCCCTAGTGTGTTCAACTCTGCAGCATTCACATGAAGGTCATTTCAGCCAAATATGTATCTATATGAAACTGAAGTAGTATGGCTCATATGTGAGGCCTGTACTGTGTTATTTCCACATGCATGAAGTAGCCTATAAAGGCAAGCAAACATTAATGTTCATGATCAAATCTGACTCAAAGGGATCCTGAGGAAACACTTCTTTCAAGTAAAGTGGCAACTATAGGAATGATAGCAGCCTGATTTTTAATATCTTCCACTGTCTCAGGTCTCAGTATTATGTTGGTTACCATAGAATTCTCAGACAAAAATTTATAACAGCCTTCCACACTAGCAACACTTTCAAACTATTTTAACTCATATAGTTATAATGTATACTTAAAATATGTATGTATATAAGGATTTTTTTTCTCATGAAATGCTTTTCTTTTCAGTGGGATGCCATAACAGAAATGGATGAATATAACCGCCCCATTCATACTTACCAGGTATGTAATGTTATGGAACCCAACCAAAACAACTGGCTTCGTACAAATTGGATCTCTCGTGATGCAGCCCAGAAAATCTATGTGGAAATGAAGTTTACACTGAGGGACTGCAACAGCATTCCTTGGGTACTGGGGACATGCAAAGAAACATTTAACCTCTACTACCTGGAATCAGATGAATCGCATGGAATTAAATTCAAGCCAAACCAGTACAATAAAATTGATACAATTGCAGCTGATGAGAGTTTTACTCAAATGGATTTGGGTGACCGCATCCTTAAACTGAACACAGAAGTTCGTGAGGTGGGACCAATAAACAGGAAAGGATTTTTTCTTGCTTTTCAAGACATTGGCGCATGCATTGCTTTGGTCTCTGTCCGTGTTTACTACAAAAAGTGCCCTTTCACTGTTCGGAACTTGGCTATGTTTCCTGATACTATTCCAAGGGTTGATTCTTCCTCTTTAGTGGAAGTACGAGGTTCCTGTGTGAAGAGCGCTGAAGAGCGGGACACTCCAAAATTATATTGTGGAGCAGATGGGGATTGGCTTGTGCCTCTAGGACGATGCATCTGCAGTGTTGGATATGAAGAAGTGGAAGGTTCCTGCCATGGTAAGAAAGTTGTTCTTAATTGTATTCCAAAGCAATTTTTGTTGGCTGTAGGCAGGGCTTTTTTTGTCATAGAACGCACTGAAACGGCGTTCCAGCACCTTTTTTCAATGGATTTTTCCATGTGATTTTGAGTCGCCCTGTCAGGCGTAGCAGGTTGGTGGCAAATCATTAAAATAGTGCATTTGGGCTGCTTGTGTGTCTGTGCTGGTTGTGATGGGGCTGCTCGGCTTATGATTGGTCATGTGGTCACACGCTGAGTGCTTACTGCGGGCGGCGACCATTATGTTTCATTACACAGTGTTGCTGTGTGTAGAGTGACTTGCTACGTGCAAAAGGTAAATAATTTCTTTATTTTAAAAAAAAGTTGGTGAATTGAAAATCTTTTTTTAATTTTTAGTGTAAAAGTATGACCCCAAATTTAAAAATGAAAAAAATTACTAATTACTTCTCAACCACCAGTCCTGCTAATGAAAGATTACCCTTAAAAAAAACCCTAAATAAAAGATTAACAAGATGTGAGTTCCAGCACCTTTTTTTTTTTTTTTTAAAAAAAAAGCACTGGCTGTAGATATTTTTAATGCATAGACTGTAGTCCAATGTTCATCAAAGTTAAGGGGCAAAATATTAATTATTTTAACAGGAGTTGGATCAAGCTCATAGTTAATTGTTGGATGGTTTAAAATTTAATTTATTGTCATGTGTTACTTGGCATATATTGAAATCATGGCTGTAACTAGAATAGGGAAATAGTTTTATTTATCAGTAAATCATGGACAAAGTAGAATGGTTATTGCTAGTCACAAAAAGTAAAAGCAAAAGTTGCTACATGGGTGCAAAGAATTAGAAGTGAAGTATATGCTGAGTTCATTAGCTGTGAGCCTAAGACATTTGGAATGAATACATGAAGTGAGAAGTTATATAATATATGAAGGCAACACTTCTTCTAGGGAGTAATAAATGCTGTGTAAGTTGATAGTAACAGTTATTGAGCAGCTGGAATACGAATAGTTTCACTTGAAAGTCTAGTGAATTGAGAGCTACTGAAACCCAGGTACTTATTATAAGAAATCCAGTTCAGTATATTTTGTTGCTGTGTAGTTTTTTTCTGGAACTACTTGTTGTGGTGGTCACTTTCACACATGAATATTCATTGTGAAACACTATTTTATGATCACGCACTTTGCAAATGGCTTTATAGCATATGGAGAAGTAAGTATGAATGATATGATTGATGCTTCTTAATAAAGGAATAAAGGGAAATTTGCAAGTGGAGCAAAGGATTTGCACCTGTTTGTATCAAGGTGGTGGCTGTTGTTTAAATGGAGAATCATTGATGAATTCTGTGGAGGAGAGTACTTTTTGTTCACTGAGAAGGCTCATTTGTAGATTTTTTGTTGCTGTTTCTCCAGTCCAAAGAAATTTGTTTGCCTGAAGAGTTACACTACTAGGATGAACTTGATACTTCCACAGTCTAATCAAGTCAATTATTACATCTTGTCCCAATGAACAGTAAATATGGAATCTATTCCATAAGAGACCCATTCAGACATTTAATACCATCTGTTTCCCACTGCTTATAGAATAGGAAAATGGCTTTCTAAGAGCTGGCATCCAGACAGCAGATATTCAAGTGTTCTTATCATCATCATCAATTTATGTCGTTTCTGCACCACCCAACAACTGGGAAGTTCACAGCAATTAAAAAAAAGTAATAATTAAACCAGAAAATAAAATGTAGCTAAAAATGCAGCTAAGTTTAAACAGCTAAAATAAATTCAGTAAAAACAAGCCTATTTAAAACTCTTGACATGCCCCATTATATGTCTTTATATTCCTAGAAGTATAAGGTAGTCTGTACCTGGCAGTGAAAAGATGAAGGCGTTGGTACCAGGAAGTAAGAATTCTATAAAATTGACCACCAATTTTGGACAGCTTTAAAAGGTGATTGGGCAAATTCCTGGTGGAGAATGCTAGGAATGGCTACTATTCCTTTTAGCAATATGCTACCTCCAGGATCAGAGGCACCATGCCTATGTACACCAGTTGTTGGACATCATGGGCAAAAGGGTACTGATTTAGTCATGTCCTGCTTATAGTAGCCTGTGGGCAGCTAACTGCCACTGGATGAATGGAATGCTGGACTAGACTCTTCTTATATGCTTAATTTAGGTCAGGCACCACTAAGAAGGTCACCTTCCTTGTTGCCATCCTCAGACCATCACTTGGACATGACATTCAGATGTATATCATAGTCTATATAATAGCTTAGTATGCTACCTTTCCATATAAATGTTATGAGATAAATTTACATCCCTAAAAACACATAGATAATACATGAACTGATAAACCCCCTATCATAAACATTGAGAGCCAGTGTTCCATAATGGTTAAGAGTGTAGGACTGGGACTCAGGTGATCTGGGTTCTAATCCCCACTTAATCATGGCCAGTCACAGACTTTAAGCCCAACCTATCACACAGGGTTGTTGTGAGGATAAGATTGGGAGCAGGAGGAAGAGAATGATGTAAGCCGCTTTGAGCTTGTATGAGGGGAAAAAACCAGGATATAAAACGAATAAATAAATAACTGAATAAATTTAATTTGCTTGAAATAAAAACAAAAAGAAGCAAATAGTCAATGTGACCTTGGCCAAATTAGCCACCATCTTTTGATTCAGGATTCAAAAAATAAGCTGTGGCAAGAAAGTTTACATGGCTTTCACTTACTTAACAAGGCAACTATGAAGTCTGAGAGTAAAGCCATGACTGTATTCTACCATTACATTAATATATCAACCTAAAATGTGATTACAGTATTTCTTCTTTGGGGTGAGGAGCTAGCCTGGGTATTCTGCCCCAATACATTCATCCCTTCTAGTATATAAAAGAATTATAATGTAATCCTGCAATTCTCTATTCAAAAGTAAGAGTTCAATGGGACTTACTCCTGAGTAAGTGTGCATATGATTGCACATGGAGGTGAGGTGGTCAATGGACTCATCCCTCTTCTTTCCTTTGCTTGGGAGCAGGGAGAGAAGTGTGCTATTTAATATTAAGCAGATAATGTCCCTCATAGTATATAAAGTGGTATTCATAAATTGCCACAAAATTAGGAATAGCACTTGTGAAGATAACTTTTCTCTGTTAATAAAAATTATATCGAAGCAGTTGGCTTTCTGGCTGCTTTGCTTTCTATGGTATAACTGAGAAAAATAAGGAGGGAATTGCTCTTGTCAATCGCATTATTAATCCTTACATTCCTGAATGCCACCTGGAAACTACCAACTATCACACACATTTTATGGCCATTTCAAAGAGCTGATAGCAGCTGGATAGCAAAAATTGAAATTGGACACATACAGTTGATATAGAAATATATTCATGTTGGAAACCCCAGCACTGATTTATTCATCCTCTTTGACAAGGATGCAATAACTTTTTCTGCCCAAGGATTAAATTCTATTTCAGAGATCTTTCAAGGGTAAGCAGGGCCAAAATCAAAATGGATAAGCCAAAAATATCATAATATTCTATGTAAAAGATCTTATTGCCAGTACCTAATCATTAGCAGAGGCATTCAATCTTTTAGAACTGGGGAGGGGAAACATGTTGTACAAAAGTGAGAAAACCACTAAATGATTGGTGTTTAGGGAAAATATAAGGCTACAGTAAGGGAAAATCCCAGAGGGAAAAATTTTGCTGGAATAGTGCCATTTTTTTGTCAAGTGAGAGCTTGAATTATTGGCTGTTTTTAAAAGACTGATCTTATTAAAATTGTTCCTTATGTTTACATTGGACTATACATAATTACCTCTATGATGATTTGAGATTTAATATTTCAGACCCCGACATTTATTTTTTATTTATTTTTTATTTTTTTCAATTTATATCCTGCCTTTTTCCTACAAAGGGCTCAAGGCAGCTTACATCATTCTCCTCCTCCATTTTATCCCCACAACAACAACCCTATGAGGTAGGTTGGGCTGAGAGTCTGTGACTGGCACAAAGTCACCCAGTTGGCTCCATGGCTGAGCGGGGACTAGAACCCAGATCACCTGAGCCCCCGTCCCATGCTCTTAACCACCACACCACACTGGCTCTCATTGACATTGTTATCACTTGCTGCAAATATCCATTCTCCTTCAACCTTATTCACTTCATTTAGATTCACAAATGTTCCTCATCTCACCCTAGTTAGGAAAAATGCAGCTTCTTCTTTAAAAAATGTGGCACTGTGCACTTTTGAACATGAACTCCAGTTTGGGAAACTGAAAAAGTTTCCAAGGAGCTCTGTCCCTGTTCACCTTTGGACTTTGCAAATGGGATGTTTTCACGATTTCCAAATAAGAAGTAAATTCGCATATATTCCTACTTGCTGTATGATAATTGTTTTAAAGGCTATAACATAAGTGCAGTGCTAGGACAGCAGCACATTTTAAGCTATGTCATACTCAGTCTGCTGTGGGATGATAGCCAAAACCAATGGTGTCCTTCAAAGTAGCCTAAAAAAGACCAAGAGCAAGAGAAACAAAATTACAGAGATGTTTGATTTTGTGCAAAAATGCCTAATTTTTAAGAGAATATCCCCTCATTCAGGTTGCCCAGCAAAACTCCTAAACAAAACTCCTTATCACAACACATTAATAACATGTGTCTGGTACAACATTAGTTATTTTTTGGCTGCTGAGGGATTATGTCAGTAGAGGGGAGGAACCAGAGAAGAGGCAAAGACAGCTGTCTGAGACTGGATCGGCCTCCATCAATGCCTAAACAGATATGCCAGTATCGCTGCAGATACTGGCCAAAATATATAAATATTTCAGTCCACTGTTTCTCCCTAAAAATGTTTCAAGATGGACTACATCATCTAAATAACTGAAAGGGCAAACAGCTCTTTATTTAATATCCCTGTGACTCCCATTGACTTATGGCTGCAGTGTTCAGAGGAGCTGAAATATTATGTGAATGTTCAGAATGCACCAAGAATAAACAAGGGTTTCT